AATTTATAGCCGTTATCTCGCAATAATAAATACTTTTCAAGTCCAATTTATATTTATGACAAAAAAAAAAAAATTACACATATAGATATCAAAAAGTAATAACAACAACAAAAGCAGATTTCTGTTCTTACCTGTTTATTTATATATTTCGGAATATAATTTCCTTTGTTTCAGAATCTGCTGAAGGAATGTAAGAATTTCGGTGTTTGAGTTCCAAGCTAGGTGTCGCAATTTCTTTCTCAAAATTAATGTGGATACATTTTATGTTCTTGTTAGTTTTTGCTGACGACGGAGTTCAGAGCGTCAACAGAATTTTCAGACTGCTATCTCAGACAAGCGACTACATGTGCATCGTATCCTGCTAAACCACCTCTCATAGAAAGCTTTTTAAACTTCTGGCGTGTGGGCAATTTACTCTGGAAATCACAGTACATCGTCTAGAATACTGTGTCTCATTCTAATGACACATTTTTTTATATGCAATGGCCCACTTTGACTGGATTGTACGCTGGTGAATACAGCCAGTCTGAACCATCGACAGAGTGACTATAAAAATAATTATGCATGAATTGAAATGAAAGATGTGTTAAATGTTAAAAAATAAAAACATTTGGTTGAATGCTATTTTATTTGTGAAGACCACAAGTGTAAAGAATGATCATAAAAAGATCCAGTGGCTATCAGAGATTCTGTAGTATCTAAATAACACCAATCAGCACCATACCCTAAACCACCATGGTCGCCATCTTTATAGTTTAAAGTTATATCCAGTTCTTCGTCTGTAATCGAAATTTGAGATAAAATAATAAAATATAAGAAAGGCTTTTAGCCTTGAATGTGTATCACGGACACTAGTTTGTATTTGCACTACTGTATTCCGACCTTCAAGGTGATATAAATGTGGTGAAGATACATTTGAAATATTAAAACATAAAAAGCTAGGAATACGTAAACTGCCAAACAGTGAAGACGTACCTATATTTGAAGCATCAAGAACATGAAAACCATTATACATAGTAGCTGTAAGAATCTGTTTCCCTGTGTAAGGATGCCACTTTATTCTCCAAATACCACCATCTAATTTTGTATCACTCAGTGATCTCTTCCAGTTCCGAACATCATATAGTCGCAGGTGTTCATCATATCTAGAAAAAAAACTTAAAAGTTTGAACCGAATCAGTACTAAACCATATGAAACTACGCAGAATATTTATATGTAAGAACGGTATGGTTCTATAACAGAGGAAATGAATGGAGTTTTACGTCCTACTTTTCTGCACCATGAGGGCTGATAGAGAAGGCCTATACCAGATGAGTATTTTTTCTCATTTGACGTTTACGACTTGATATCAAGGAATTCTACACCTGATACACCTGCACACTTTGTGAAACCTCATCCTGAAGTGGACCTAGAAATAACAAACAAAATTGGCTCAACAAGATGAGTGGGGCCCCTCTTCTGAAAAATTGTTTTTACTTACCCACCAATGGCGATCATATTCTGTTCTGTTTGTATTTTATTACACTGTAAACTACAAACACCCATATCAAATCTGCGATGAACAAAAATTAACGCATTAGCTATATATTATCCAAATCGTTGTTTCGTTCATGAAAATGTTTCCCAGCAGAACAATTGTTTTTGAAAATATACCTTTTAGAGAAAACTGAACAATCAAATCCTACTCTTGTATCCCAACATTTAAACTTACAGTCATCTCCACCTGTAAATAAATACACCATAATGTACAAAAAAGAACGAGAAACATTACCCAAAAAATATGACCATCAGTGATCAGATATTCACTATAAATCGAAACAATTTACGGAATTTCGGAATTGTCATGAAATCGTTGACTGTTGCACTCAAGGGATACGAAGGTTATAAACGAAAGAGTCGTGATATAGTGGTTTCATGACCCAAACCGAAAACATCAAAGGTTTGTCAAAAACAACTGAAATGAAATGAATTGAGTTTTACATCCTACTTTTCTGCACGTTGGCTAATAAATGCAGAGTCCAATGCAGGGTGCAATGAGGGAAATTTTGCGAGGACACCAGATTTGCCTGACTTTTTATCGATTTCCAATCGTCGAGGGATCTTTAACATGCATATCCTCTTGCACACGGGGCCTCGATTTATTGTCCCATCCAAACGACTACACCCTTTTTCCATGTTATTGCCCTTGTTCTTGAAAACGTGTTAAATTTTTAGCTCGTGAACACTCTAGAAGGCAAATATTCAATCTTCAGCTCGTGACTGAATATTCATCAAGAATCATGCATTTTAGTGTTTACGAGCTAAATTTGAAAGCATTTTCAAGAACATTGGCAATAACTCATACTAAATATTTTTCAATTCTTCTGATTCTCAATAGGGTTCCTTCTTGGGTGATTACGAACATTCACACCAGGTTTCATCAAAATCCATCAAGAATTGTGACTTCTAGAGTGTTCAAGAACAACGGCAATAACTCATACTAAATATTTTTCGATTTTTCTGATTTTCAATAGGGTTTATCCTTGGTTGATAGCAAACACTTATGTCAAGTTTCGTCAAAATCCATCAAGAATTGTGCCTTCTAGAGTGTTTACGAGCTAAAAATTGAACGCGTTTTCAAGAACAAGGGCAATAACTCATATACTAAATATTTTTCGATTCTTCTGATTTTCAATCGGGTTCATCCTAGGGTGATTACGAACACTCATACCAAGTTTTGTCAAAATCCATCAAGAATTGTGTCTTGTAGAGTGTTTACGAGCAATTGTGGACGGACCGACGGACTGACATGGGTGACGGCAATATACGCCCCCCATTTCATGTGGGCGTATAAAAATAAATACGAAAATATGCAGATTTGGTTTAGCTTTACAGAAAATATCTATAACTGAAACAATTTTACAGATCTACCATCCAAAAGTCCAGAAACTTTGGGCCCTTATAGGTCGACCTTGCAACGGGAAAAATCTGAAAACAATTAGATTTACCACGACCGTTGATAGCGTTTAGCTCATGTACGGGAGTTCCGAGATATCTGATGAGATGATAGAAATCGTTCGACGATTTCAGTCCAGTCCACTTTTAGAGACAAATTCTGAAGTATAACAAACCTTTCTTCTTTATTTGACCAGTCTAATGACAGACCCAGGCAAGTGTCATCTAAATCAACCTCGCTGAATTTCTGTGGCTCACTATCACCATCGAGAAACTTCCAGATTTGAAGCTGCCCAGTGGAATTCACCAGTCCGAAGTGCATCTCATCATTGTGATTATTGGGACACCATTTGATATCCAATATACCGTCCATATATTGTTGATTTACTAGTTTTAACCTGGGTTCTGAACTTGACAAATCTAATTTATATTGTCTTAAATGGCCTTTTCTCACTTGAGGAGCATTTTGTGTTTCTTTTGTCGTTTCGAGTGAGGTTTCTTTCTAAAAGCAAAAATCGTGTAAAATGGGAAATGGCCATAAACGACTGACATAACCTTCGTCAAAGGGAAGATTACTAGTAACCTAGTCGGAAGAATTGTTTTCTTGTCGATCTGATCTGAATCTGATCAAGCAAGAAGTCTAAATTACAATATGTTTTCGTTTGTTTGAAAAATTGTTATTTGTGTTGTGTGAAATCTGTGAGAGAGAAGCGATTACCTGTGACTCCTGTAACTGGTAGGTACCACAGAGCAAGGTGGATTGATATGGTTCAAATGGACACCATTCTACAGAATCAGCATATAGTTCTGTGTCTATTCTATCATACGTTGTCATCTTCACGGACAATATTGCTCAGAACATCATCCGAACCTTCAAAGAAAACCAAAATACTCAGGCAATTGAACTGAGAGAGGCCTGGGAGACACGTACTGTTAACAAATCCCTGATAGTGCCTCCTACTGCCACCACACCCAAGAATAACATAACCTACAGGTTTCTCTTATACCCTTGTGTTATAATCTGCACTGGTAAGTCATTGGCGGATTAAGATGCGGTTACATAAGAATACAGAATGAAGGCATGTATAGTTGGACCTGTTAATCAGATCAGCTGACAGTAATGCTTTATATGTACCATACTATTGAAAGGAAATGAAATGAATGGAGTTTTACGTCCTACTATTCTGCACCATGTGGGCTAATGAAGATGGCACCATACTATTGAGATGTTGAAAGTAAAATGCTGTGACAATGATCCTCATATAAATCCAATTGCAAGTACATTGTAAAAGCTTATTTGAAACCCTTCAATTAACAAAAGTCACAGTGGAAGCTTAATCTCATAAAATTTCCTCATGTATCAAGTCTTATTATGGTTGATCTTATTGAACAGATAGGGTTGAGTGATGTTCAGTCCATAGCATGCACTTCCAGTAACAGCTAACCCCAGCTTAAACTAAATAATAAAGTTCTATCATCTGGTAAAGTAGACGACTATGCTCTTTGAAATTGTGGTAAACATTGTATAGTCTGCAAATTGTGAGCAGTTACAATGTTTCCACACTTAAAAATGTTTGCATGAATTAAACCGGCTTCTAAATCTTCATGCTATTTTGTGGCCAGTTTTGATTTCTGGAAGAAGGACATTAGAGGAAAATCTTGAAACAGAAAGAGTAAATAAATTTAAAGGATAAATACAGTACAACATTTTTGAGGTTTGGATGATAATTTATGTATGAAATGTTTGTGATAACAAAATGTGACAAAATTACATATTTCGATTTGACATTAGTTACATGATCTTGTCACTGAAAACTCCTTAACAGGGGTGTGAACATTTGTACATAATATGAAAGCATTCTAAATTTCATGATCAGATGAACCAATGTTATTTACAAGTAAAAATAAGATTAAAATGTTGAGATGTTAATATTATCCATCTATACTATAAAAATGGAAAATTTTCATTTTTCATATTCACTGCATTTCAGTGTGATACCAACAATATAATCAAATTATCATAATATTCGGTGTCTATGTCCTTTCCAAAAGTACACTATTAGCTTCTGGCACTGCGTTCACATTCCATTAAACATTCGCGAACTAGAATTCGAGCATGAACAATGCTACGTTTCAGCCTCTCAGCAGAAGTTCTATTTCCAGCATACGTTGGTCTGATGTCACGCCCCATATCTTCAATAACACCTAACAACTGTCCATATTTACTAGCTGGTTGCTGGGATCTAACTTGTGGCGCTGGTAGTGGTGGTGTTGCTCTCACTTCTCCTTCCCCAGATCTTGGTGTACCAGGATTACTTATTGATGGAGAATTGTTTAAAGCTCTTTGTGCTTCTGCTATTACAGCTGCAGCTGCATTCACTGCTGCTATATTCTCTTCTTCTGTCATTTTACTGAGTAGTGCAACTACAAAATACAAAATCTTAAGTGTTAGTCATACAATTATTTAACTCAAAAGTATTACAAATATTGACAAGCTTGCAAAACCTTGAATAAAACATGTGCCAAAGAACAAACAGACAAAATTAGAAATGGATAAGATTAAGAATGAAATTCAAAACAACTTACATTTCAGATAATGTCTGTTGGATCTTGGCTCACCAACACTTTTTTCCTAGGTCACAATTAAATGTACCGGGTGTAGTCTTATTTAATTAAAAGTGAGGCATGTTTTTTTATTAAGCTAGCTGCAGTCATGATCTTAAAATACTGCACCAAACATTGAAGAGCAATAAAGAAATATTAAAACAGAACTTGAAGCATGTTTTTACTCCAACATGTTTCAGGTTCAGTTTTAATATTTCTACATAGATATTAAGTATATATCAGACATATCTGCATTACAAATCTGAATGAAGCTATGTGGCCAACTGTTGTCAGGCATGAAATTATTCAGTGTGTAGGCTAACATAGCCTAATTCTAATAATGAAATGTTTGTGTCAATACATAAATCAATAGGCCAGATAATAGCTTGATTGATTACATTTTGATAGAGAAGATTATGAGACCTGATTGAAATAGAGAGGGCATTAGTCAGTGTTTGTTCATGGGCAATACAACTACACCAGCATCCAGCATCGAACATCATACTCATACATCAAATCAACATTAATTAAAGGGACAGAAAAGAAAAAAAAAAACATATATAGTAATAGTGAGTAAAATTTCTAGGAAGTATTTCAAAAGAATTCATACGATTTTCGTACGTTTCTAGTACAGTCAAGTAACCTAATTTCGTGGAAACCTATTATTCGTGGATTTCCGGAAATGTTTAATAATTTACATGAGCGACCTTGCGCAACCTCTGCATTAGTTTGTTTTGATAAACATGGGTTTTCTGTACAATATCAGCTATTAGAATGAATCCAGTAGTTTCAAGCAAGGTAAAATGTATTAATGTATACTTTGACAAATACAAAATGGTGGATTTCACTTATTACCAAACGACACAATTTTTTATCGGCCGAATTTCCTTATAATCCCAAGCGGTAATCGGAATTCCAAGTGTCGTCTGCTAGAATGTAGTCCAACGAATGAAGTCACGTGATCAACTAGCAGATTCCGTGTCAGCAGAAAATTTCTTTGGAACACAAAGTAGACCATATTCTTATGTTGTTTCAGTGAATTTTAGCAATAAATCACGCTACTTATATCATTTTGTCAGTAACTATTTTTTGTAAAATCGTGGTTTTTTGAAGGAATTGTCACTAGTTATAATGAATTGATATTAAAGATAAATACTAAGAGAAGTTAATTATACCACCTGGTATCCATACAACGTGTTTTTCTAGACATATTTATAGATCAAACATTGTACACGAAAATAGGTGACGCATTCTGCCGCCGTTGCCGAGTTGGTTGCTCATGAAATATGGGTCAAAGTGAAAGATTCATAAAGAAAATCGAAATAAACCAATTTTAATTATTTTGTAGAATATCTGAGGAAACATCTAAGACATAAATTTTTTTTTTCGTTTTTTTAACTTTAACGAAATTCGGTGTTGAATCCTTATATCCACGAAAATAGGTTACACCACTGTAACTCTGAAAACTATTTCCATATATCCAAGATAAAAATCAATCCCTCCACCTCAAAAATTGCGCACTAGTCCCTTTTACAACAAAGAAATATGTGTAAAATTACCTGAATCAAATTCAACGAGGGCTATAATTCAAGTAGAACTTCTGTGACTTATCAATCGTGTTGTATCTAATAGCCTAAATCATTTATTGCTCAGTACATTTGCTGATTCGTGCATAAACATACGTTTACTCTATATTCTATAACTTAGTTATCAATATTTTCAACAATTTGGATGGGAGATAACTCTTGAATTTTATGACAAAACGTACCTTTGGCGTTGAGTTTATTAGATTTACAAAATTCTAACCATCTTTAGAACCATTTAGGCCTTTTTTTCGTTTTGACAACCAACAAAAACAAGAATTTATTTTCATCCCAATTACCATTAAATATTTGTTATAAGAACATATTACTGAGGTGTAATAATTGTACGATTTTGTAACAATCTTTGAGTTTTGGGTACATTTTGTATTTCTTATAAATTCAGGAATGTGCAACAATGGCAACGATATAAGCATCATGATCGTATTTGATTGGGGAATAAAAAATATTTAGACTAAGTTAATATAATAATCTTCATAGACTATTTCATTCTCAGGGCTTTTGTGTTTTGAATGATATTTCGTTTTGTGGTGTTAAATTTTATGGAATCAAAAGCCAGTTCGTTTAATAATAATAGAATTAGACTCCGCAACAACATTATTTTAAACTTTCTGAATCTTAAACTATTTTTCTCCTCTCTGTAAATAATTTCACTTCGGCTTTTAACGAAAAGAAATTGTAACATCAATAGTCGAGAAATTGAAACTTAATTGTTTGCTCTAGAGTCTAGTTAGCTATAGTTTCTGAAACGAACTGGATATATGATTGATGAAAACAACATGTCTGCTCGAGGAGTTGAACGTGTTTTAGCGAAATGTCAAGCTTGTATTGACGCTGGAAGCTTTTATGAAGCTCATCAGATGTACAGGACACTGTACTTTAGGTATATCTTTACAGAAGAGTCGGTTCATTCGACCTTATACTTAAGTTTAATGCGCGAATTATTGAGTCGAACTCAGTGATTGCAAGGCCTTGGCTGCCGTCGAATATCCTCGGCCTTACTTTATATCGTCCGTACAATCAACTCAACCAGTGGCGAACCCACACGTCATTTAATATTTTAACGTTTAAGCTCGATTTCTAAAGCAAACTTTGAAATACCAGAAGTCCAATATTAATTTATTTCATACTTCTCCAATTGGTTTTTGGAAATGAGAGAAGCTTTGTTCACTTTTCAGTTTCAGAACCAAATTTGTACTTCATATTCATACATTGAACAAAATACATACACACAAGAGTCCGTCAATCTCAACACCTGGCTATGTTTATTAATTGCAACCTTTAAATCGATTGGCAAGTAGTGAATTTTATGACATTTTCTTCTGCCATTTCCTGAAGGCCATCAGTAATTTGATTTGCTGTCTCAGGCCATCAGCAAAGTGTTCTTCGGTCTATTAGTAAGCACTATGGCTTCTTGACCACCTTAGTGAATTTCAATAAGTCTTCCAAATTGAAGTTAAAAAATAAATAATCATTATGTACTTGTGCAGTTGTGGTGGCCTGTGAATACATATGGTAATAAATGATATTCAACTCACAAATAACAATATTTATTACAATATTTGTATTATTATTTATTTATTCAACAGGTACAATGCTCAGCATAAATACACAGAGGCTATAGATCTCTTATACACTGGTGCTAGTACATTGTTAAAAAATAACCAGGTAATAGCAATTAAGGTTATCTCAGCAATGAAATTTTTTTTATATACTTCTGTTATTAGTTCAAGTTTTTGTCAAACTATTGTTTGTTTCAATTTTCTTACCTTGATATTCATTTAAGCTAAATTGGAATTAATCTTGTTTAATTACGTGTTTTATTAATTTACAAAAAATTTTGTTGTTCTTTTTAAAGCATACTAGTGGTGCTGATTTAGCTATGTTACTGATAGATGTATTAAACAAATCAGAGGCTTCGGTTACCTCACAAAATATTGGTAAGTTACAGATTGGAATACAGTCATTTTTCCTTCTTCATCAGTTTCCCTTAGGGCTGTAACGATTCTTGAAGATATGATTTGATACACTAAAGGATACGCATCCAATGATACAATTTACTACAATAATAATCCTGATTCATTTATTAGATAAGGCAAGAGAAAAAAGTAGTATAAATTTCTTAAATTATTTAAACTTTGTCATTATTAAGCACATGAGAACATTTAGAAATTCTTAAATTTTTAAGTCGGAAATGAAATTTTGACGTTAAAATTATTCCTAAAAAATCAAATCATGGCACATTTTTCATATATTATATTTTCATGTTATTAAAGGGGGTGTATATATAATCGTGCTGATACATCTTGATTATTTGTATGCAATGCAATGCAGCGATAAGAAGGAAAAGAATCGCGGTTCATTAGGGCCCTATTACCCCTTTAACAAAAATGTGAAAAAACTTTCTTTATTTTAAAATTCAATTGATCTATTTAAAAGATTGTTTTATCTGATCTGTTGGAGATTTTTCCTTTCTTAAAAATTATTATCATTCAGGTGCAGAAGAGTATGATGTAAAACTCCATTCATTTCATTTTAATATTATTATTATTCCTCTGTATTTATTATTATATTGAAATATTTCAGATAAAATAATAGATTTATTTAAAATAATGGACCCAGAATGTCCAGAGAGATATAATTTCTTAACGGCAGCAGTTCATTGGTCAAAAAAGGTAGATGGCAAATTTAAACGTGGACACCCTGAACTACATAAGAAATTTGGTATTATGTTTTGGGAAGGTATGTAATCTTGTCTTTTAAAACATTTTAAGAAATTATAAATGAATGAAAAAATTATAATGCGAATTTATTTTTTCAACATTATTTGAGAAATTCTTTATTGTTGCAAAAATTATTATATATATGTTTGTATTTGTTTACAGAAAGAAATTTTGTTCAAGCACGTTACCATTATTTACATTCGTGCGACGGTAAGGGTTGTGCTACTATGTTAATAGAATATCATACTATTAAAGGCTATGCATCAGAAGTAGATTTATTTATAGCACAAGCAGTACTTCAGTAAGTTTTTTTTATTTTGATATTTTTTATATACGACTGTACTCCAGATAGGGCTGGGTGATATTGGTTCAAGTGGATATCAAGATATCAAGCATTAATATATCCTGACATTTATTAAGTATGGTTTTTACTGTTTTTTGAAACAAAATGTTTTTTTTTATTATCTAAATTTTTAAATGTAACAAAACACAATAAATTTCTCTACAAACAACTCAGTCTTTAATATCATGAAGAACATCTGTTTCAAATATTAAGTTATTTGTTAAAATTGTGCAAATAATCAAAATTTGAAGATATATCATGATAACTACCAATTATCACATTATGGCGTTATTTTGGTATTTTTAATCAGGTGATATTATTAACGATATAAATTCCTATACTAGTATATATTGTGATACCAGTATATTGCCCAGCCCTAACTTTAGATATTCATCAACTCAGATAAAAGTGGAGATCTTGTATTTTGAAAAAAAGGTATGAGTTTAATTCAAAACTGGTAGACTACAAGCTATAGAATCTTTGGGTATTTCTTGAGTACAATGGTAAATTTTACCATGGAAGTCTTTGCAAATTCATCATGCACACAATAATTTTCTATGAATATTTTTCAGATATTTGTGCCTTCAAAATAAAGACACAGCAAATGAAGTGTTTTCTACCTTTACAGCAAATCACCCTCAGATTGAGAAAGGACCACCATATGTCATGCCTTTACTCAATTTTCTATCATTCTTATTATTAGCTTTAGAAGGGTGAGTTTGCGTTCACTTTACAAGAAAATTTTGTCAAACTCAAAAAATGTCATTAGTTTCTTTTCTATCTTGGTTTGAGAATGGAATAAATACAAGATGTTACTGATTTTGCCATTGTCTGCTTTTGGTACAGTATTGGCAAAATTAGCTTTAACACATTTTAAATTAGGGGAGGTTTTTTTCGAAGGATCATGATCTGTGTGAAGTATAGATATTATCTCTTTAATAATGTTAGTCTATATGATATATTTCAGGGGTAAACTAGCTGTATTTTCTATTCTATGTGAGAAATATGAAACGTCACTAAATAGAGACCCTAGTTATAAAGAGGTAAGCTATATTTCTCAATAGACATGAAATTGATGTTGATCTACCAGTGTGCTCCTGTATTAGCTGCATTTGCTAATTGGTCTAAATGTAAAACTCTGTTAATTTCACTGAATAGGACTGAGTGGAAAACAAATTGAAAGGAAATTTAATATCTTGAATCTAGTAAACAGAGCACTAGTTTAGACCCTAAGCTTTTTACTGTTTTGACAGTTCATTTCAGATAGATCTGATGGATTTATTATATTTATTATTTATCTTTCGTTCCTTTGGGGGAGCCGCGGTGGCTCAGTGAGTTAGACGCTTGCTCACTAACCTGAAGGGTTAAATCCTGGTATAGGTTGAGATAATACCTTCGGATTTTTCAACCCGGTTTCCCCCTGTCAATGATGCAGGTAAGAGGGGCTGGTATGGAAAAAGCGTCTAGTCATTCGGATGGGACAATAAACTGAGGCTCTGTGTGCTACAGGGTGTGCACGTTAAAGATCCCTCAACAGTTGGAAACCGAAAAAGAGCAGGCTAATGCAGCTGTCGGATGTTGCCTGTCTTCATTAGTCCACATGGTGCAGACGTAAAACTCCATTCATTTCATTTCATTTTCGTTACTTTGTACTTATTTCCGTATCAATAAAATGTTTTTTTTTGTTATTTACAGTATTTAGATAAAATAGGACAGTTATTTTTTGGTTTACCTCCTCCACAAGCCTCAAGTCAAGGTATATTTGGTAAGTTTATTGTTTTCATGTTAATTTAGTTTCAAGAAATCAATTAATTACATGACCACAGAACGTGTTTATGAAATATGGCAAGAATCATCTATTCTTATATCTTTTTCTTGTATCTCTCTTATTTATCGTTTCTTATATCTTTTTCATTTATCATTTCTTGTATCTCCTTCTTATATCTTTTTAAAAATTTTGTATATCTATTCTTATAACTCTTTCTTATGTATTTGAATTTTATATCTTTATTTTACCTTTTCTTGTAACTCTTTCCTATATAACCCTTTTTGTATCACTTTTATCTTTTCATACACCTTTTTCTTAAATCTATTCTTAGATATTTTACATTATTTTTTCTTACATTTTTTTTATATTTTTGTATATCTTTCTTATATCTTTTTCATATAACTATCTCTTTAATATTTTTCTTATATCTCTTTATTATATCTATTTCAGGTAATTTATTACAGAGTTTAATGACACCATCAGGTGATGATAGTGATGAGGATTCACTAGAAAATAGTGTATATTCAGAAAAAACACTAGAACTAGATTAATTCTTTATTTGTGTTACTTATATTATTCTTCATTCCGTTAAATATTTATTTATAATATAAAGTTTTGGCTTTCTGAACAAATATTCTCTAACAGTTTATTATAGCATAATGAAGCTATATCAGACATATTTATATCCTGAATCAGTATATCTTAGACAAGTATAATATATAACTAGGCTCACTTTATTAAACAGTATGATATAGTTCTATAACTCTTACAGCTTATACCTGTCAATCTTATAATTATAATTTGATAAACCTTGATTCAAACTGTCTAAAAGTTGCTGTTCAATAATTCTAAGGTTCTTCATCTGTCTAGAATGGTGATGTGACACTATGTAAATATTGGGTTAGAATTTAATTTTTGTTTAATATGAACCTGAACAGTTAAGTCAAGGAATTATTGTCTTTATAACTTGAATGCTATCATCAGATGGTTGAATTGGATCAATTTTGAAGAAATAAATACTGTATGATTTGTAAAATATCTGGTAGATCAAAATTGAAACAGACAGCTACTGTTGACTTCTAAATCATAAATCATTTATTTTATATATCTGTTTAAAGTGCCTATTTTTGTATTTGAATGTTTATTTAGTTGTTTTATTTCACCTTTTGAAGTGCCATTCACATTTATTGACTTGAGTTTACTCGCTCATGCTGGCGATATAAAATCCTTATCATTGCAGGTAGTTGTGGATAGGGAGTCGTGTTTCCAATATAAAGCAGAGTAGAGCAATGAGGGTTTATTAAATGTGCATACTGTTTTTTCTATGATTTGAAAATTGTAAAAAAAAAAATTTGTCCAAACTTCTTTTATAAGACTCACTTTGAAAAAAAAAATTGTAATAATATGATTGGTATTCACAGAATAAACTTTTCAGTTTCATTTTGATTGTACAGATTTTTAGGCTAATGATATATAGCTTCGAGTTTCATACATCAACACAAACCTTTTACATGTTATTGTAATTCATAGAAGGTAAATGGTTGCCATTGCGTCCGATGCACCTTGTGGTCTGGGATAACGTTAACATGATCTTAACATTATGATATTGTAGTCTATTTTTTCATATTAGTTCGTGGTTTCCTCCCTTGACTAATATGGTAAACCGGACATCGTATCCCGAAGACGGGTTTTGACATTGTCGTATTAACCTCGATGGAGTATGACGAATGATGGTGTGGTTTACCGGAGTATATTTCCATATTGATACAGAACGTACGCATCCAATGTCATACGTTCCAAATCTCTTAAGTTTAACAATTTGGACAGAATAGCCGTAGTATGTTTAAATGACTCGTATTGACCGAGAACTAAATCATGTCTAAGTAAAATTGAGATCTAGAAAATGTCTATCAACATATTAAGACATATTTACTACATATGAAACTATTGGGGCAAGATAAATTGTTGTTAGCACACATATTCACAACATATGAGGGAGCCGCGGTGGCTCAGTGAGTTAGACGTTTGCTCATTTACCTGAAGATGCGACATAATATGAAACTTAACATAAATTGTGCTTAGCACAATGACATTGATCTGTGGTCAGAATGATATTCTCGATTATGACAATGGCATATAATTATGTGTTTGAGTTATTCTGCTTGATATTCAATATTTTATGTTAAATTTCCAGAATTAAATCCGAATTTAGTTTATAAAACGAGTTCATTGATTTGGATTAAATTACCATTCATTACTATCATCATGTATTATGATAAGAAACATGAAGTGATCGGTAGACCAATATAAAATGGTAACAAAATTTCTAACTTGTTATTTCAGATAGTTCGAGTACAGAAGACGATATTTTAAACAAAATGTTCAATCTTATCATAATATTGTCCTTCTATCATGTTCATTAAATTACTCTCTAGAAGGTACGGTTAAACTCTTACAGTAAGATATTTCTTAAACCGAGATACGCTTCCATTTCATAGTTATCAAAATTCTTACCGCAAGGGTTATACCAGTCTTTCGTATAACTGCCCATTCGAACTCTCCGATAAGAAAATAAAACATTTCTTTTTATTGATCACGTAACCCTTTCAGTGCTGTCTATGTTTTAATTATATCGTCCGAATAGCAATCACTTTAAAACGTTTTAAGCGCGACCTTTCAACTGTAGAATTTGATGAATCGCTCTTTATAAAATTCTTAATAGCTACCTGAAGACAATCTTATATGTATTATTTGTAACATTGTATTATTTCAGTCTTTCTAGAATATACAATGTTGTAATTTCTCTTTGCACTCAGCGAAGAACATTTATTATAGTACCATGTCAATTTGATCTTTATTACTCAAATTGATAATTGATTTAAAAGAAGTATGTTCTCTTCTTGTGTCCTTGGCCCGTGCTTCTATAGGAGAGTATCTTCTATAACACGCAACACTTATAACTAGCGAATGAAAATTCATGATTACTGTAAATAACTGCTGTTTCTCAATTGAACTTTTAATCTATGGATAATAGATGGATTAATTAGATTTGATGAAGCAATTAATTTAATGCGTTTAAGGCAATGTTGAGCTTTAAAAATTAAAAAACAGGCACTATCTTCTATTTGAATGTACAAGAATAGCCTGTAGGATTTTCCAGAAACCTCACTCATGTTTTAGCTAGAAGTCTCTCGGACTATCTGCACGATAATATTATTTAAACAACAGTATAATCTATGGTTTAATAATGGTAATCAATCTTGCAACAATTACATTATTAGCGTGTTTAAAACACAAGTTCAATAATTCATCGTGTAAATTGTGTCTATAGACTATCATTGATTTTCTATGCAATAGTATCTTGTTATATTTGCTCAATTAATGTTTGTGTATTCATTCTTTGATTACATGTGATCCCCAGCAATTAACTTTCTCCACGCCAACAATTACCCTACAATAACCTTAATGTATTACTATTCTTGTTGAACGGCCGGAAACAGCTCTAATTGAATCTGCAAGGTATTTACAAATAAAACAATCAATATTATTTCTAATCGCTAAAAATTACCAGAAAAAATATTAAGTTACAAATTAGAAGGCGACTAAATAAATTTAGGCGACATTAAGGCCTGGGTTTTGTATTAGATAAACTGACAGCCGGAAATTACCGACTTCTGGCGAATGTTTGCTGGAAACGAGTGACGTTGACGAACTCGATCTGGAAATGAATGTGATATTTAACAAGATTGCCTTAATGGAAGTGAAAATATCTACTTAAGAGTTAATAAGGTTATTAGACGCTACTAGAATCTGTTAACTATTTAACACGTCCAATGCAATGATGGGTTTGACTGAACAACACGACAGTCATCACGCCATTGACATCAAAATGCTGGACATCATCCGTCAGGACAAGAGATTCATTTAAATCAGACTAAAATGTGACTTTAATTGTCCTAATAAAACTCTGACCATCTTAATTCACTTCTACTCCATTCTCAAGTATAATGTGTTTAAGTGAAATTTGTAAAACTCTGAAAGTCTATGATATTATTAAGATACTTAACTTCAATCACTGTAGAATATTTCAATTGAAACAAGACTGTTTATCACTTTTTAAGAGGTCTAAAAACTTGTTTTGAAGATTTCAACAAATTAATAGGCTTTTATTCTATAAAGTTTAAGGTGATCAAAATTCTTCAAATGATATCGAACTTAAATAATATTTAAGTGTTAAAAGAAATTTTTAATTTTGATGTCGATTTTCAAAATCTCTGAACATCTTTTCCCTGTCATAGAAACTACCCGATGTCTGGTAGGTACAATTTCCAAACTACCAAGTTTTTGGTGGCTCACTGCTATTGTGTCACAATCTGTTATCTAAATGTACACGATTCGTATGTTGGTGAAAAGGGCCCTTGAGGACATTTGCGACGCTTATTCAAGGAATGCCTTAACCAGAAAAAATAATTTATTAGGAGAAACTTTTTGTTAAGCAGTCCACGTATATGAACAGTTGTCTGTCTTGATACCGACCTAACCAATTGGGGAAAAATGAGAAGAAGAAAAATTGGCACTGATTTAACCTGGTGTAAATTCTGAATTCCCTGATAGGATCTGTCCTTCATTGATATCACCATAGACAGATCGTCTGGCACTCTCAAGACTCGTGTTTACCGAAAACCAACCCACACCTACCAGTACATACATGCTAACTCCAACCACCCTGCACAAACCAAATCCTGCATAATATCTACCCTTACCCGCAGAGCCAGATCCATTTGTGACCTGGAATTCCTTAATGACGAAATCAACCATTTGAAAGACGTGTTCACTAGGAACAATGACTACCCCACCCAGCTAACTAACTCGATCATCCGCAATACCCTCAAGTCAACCACCTCAGATAAAACCAAACAACCAGCTGCTCCTCTACCCAGAATAGGCTTCCCCTTCATAGGTCCTACCAGCTACAAAATAAGACGCCTCCTGAAACAACAACTATCCATTTCACCTCAGGTACCAACATCAAATCACTTCTGACAGCTAACGGCAGACCTAGATCCAACAAGAAACCTGACCCCAGTGGAGTGGTATATGAGATACCATGCAACTGTGGAGCCATTTACATAGGTGAAACATGCAGACCCCTCTCCACCAGAATGAAAGAACATGTAACCTCCACCAAAAATGAAGACGGAAAATCGGCCTTATCTGAACACCTCATAAAGTTTCCTAACCACAAAATCCAATGGCAAGACCAATCTATCATAGCCTCCAACCTCCCTAACAAGCAACAACGACGAATTCGAGAAGCTCTAGCTATTCAGAGACGCTTTCTAGAGATCAACCGCGACAATGGACAGTACATTTCCAAGATATGGCTAAACTAATCTCTCCTCCCCCTCCCCCCACTCTCTACATGTTTCTTCCCTTCATTCTCCCATTCTCCTCCCAGTGCCTTTCTCATTAGCTTATGTTTGCTCGGTACCTCCTCATGACTTCATGTTTATACCCTTTTATCTATTGTCTCTCTTGATCACTTGTTATT